GGAAAGAGACTACAAAATGGGTGTAGAGAAATGTGGTTGCAAGAATGTAGACAAAGGGAGAACAAACAGAGGAAATCAGTTATTTTTAAGGGAATAAAATAGTTTTAAAGGAGGACTAAACAAGGAAGAGAAGCAAATTGGAATGAAACTGAAGTAAGAGAATGATATAAGATGATTTCTATGGAAATAATAGTGGTATATAAAAGAATGGGACTAAAATGATAAAAAAGGAAGCAAACGTTGCTGTGAGCAAGATGCAAAATGCGGAAGCTGCAGCGGCTGATGATGTGACTGAAAAAATGTGAAAAGTGCAGGTGTGAAGACCGCATCTGTGCCTGATAAATGAAAGAAAGGGAAAGATTGCATGAGCGAGGGCAAAAACTGCTAGTTTGTCATAGTACCATGGTAAGTGGATTCTGTACAAGAGGTAAGAGAGTAAAACTTGGGAAATGTAGAGGGGCTTTAGTTTGAATGTGGGGTGTATAGGCCAGATGTTTGCTCTTCAGCAGACGACTGGGAAACAAAAGCATGAATGTGAAACCTTGTAAATTTCTTGAGTGAATTTATTGTACATTTCTTGAGTGAAAGAAAGGGTATGATAAAATGAACCAGCTTGAAATATGAATGTTTTGCTCTCAATTGGATTGGAAGTTGGGTTAGTGAATGAGTAAGAAGAACATATGATGAAAGAAGAGCACATGTGAAAATAAATGGAACCCTTAGTGAATGGTTCAACATTGGGCGGACAGTAATAGTAGGATGCCCTAGTTCTAACTCCAGCCTTCCTTGCAGATAGTTTGGGGAAGGAGCTAGAACAACACATCTCATATTATCCTCCTATTGATGACAAGGTAAAGTACAATAAATTGATGGAGACCTGCTGAAGACCACTGTCAAAACGCAGAGTACTTCCTGAGACTGCTTTTCTGTATTTGATTGTATCTGAAGTCAGAATAACTTTTGTGGTTTTATAATCTGGAGAAATTTGTCAGGTGCATGTTTGTTAACAATATAGTATTACGACTTGCAAATAGTTGTATTTTTTCCCTTACTTTTATAGTGCCTGGTGTGATGCACAACTTGATGAGAGCGTTGTTCACCTATTCTGTCACTGTCCCAGTTTCACCAGCTGCAGGGACATCATTTCAGCTTTCATTTCTAACAGAGTAAGAGAGATGGAAGGGGACCTTGGAGGTCTTCTAGTCCAGCCCCTGCTCAAGCAAGAGACCCTGTACAATTTGATGTGGATCATTACAAGTGGATGTCCGGACTCTTAAAAGACTCTTAGTAATGGAGCACCCTCAACTTCTGGAGGCATGCTGTTCCACTGGTTAATTGTTCTCACTGTTAAATGTTAATTGTTCTAACTGGTTAATTGTTCTGTAGCTGGAGTTCAGCCATCAGGAGGCCAGACTGTGAACAATTCCTCTACAATGAAGCTCCTGTTCCTGAATATGTTTAGAGATCCCACTGTCACACTGACAAACACAGGACTATGCATTTGTTTTTGGTTTGGTGTAGGTATCAATTCATTCTAGAACAACAAAAACCAATGGGTTATCATTTACACATCACACTGGGCAAAAAGAAGACGAAGAAGAGAGAAACAAGTTGCATAATTGCTAAGCAGGAAGTGTAAATATATGATTGGGTATTACAACTGTCATCAAAGTGTGGCAATACAGAGCACCTCTTCCCAGTTTATTTTCTGGAGGAATTATGAACAAAAGGATTTGGGAAGTGTGGGTGGAAAGACAGATTAGACAGAAGAAAAACCTCCATCTGTCAAGGGGACAGATTTATGAGTATATATTTAGTGTTGGGGAAGGCAAGGAGGGCAGCTTAGACACATGCACACACACACAAAACTCTGCTGATCTTATACCCTTCCCACATTCTTCCTAGTCACTTCATCTTAAACATTTATAAATAAATATAGGAGAAAAATGAAAGAAATGGAAAGGGTCCTGTGGTGGCAGCAAAAACAATGAAACCATCCTTGAAATAATGGGGTTACACTTTAATTTTGAAGAAAGCAAGGAAAACAAGGACAGCCCTTTTGGCAACAGGGGTTGTATGTGACAGAATCAATTATAGGTTTTTAATTTCAAGAGGGCAAAATTTCTCTTTATTACGGTAGTGTGCATTTTTTGCTCTCTAAAAGGTAAGAATCTTCATTTAGAATCCCATAATAAAAATATCCTCTGCAAATTATCACATAGGGAAAATGATATTTTCCCAGTTTAAAATTAAAATCTTGATGATTGTGTTGAAATGGTAAATAAATAACTGTGGCACATAGTGACAAAATTCTTGTAGCTCTGCAGTCTCACATTAGCATGTCTTCAGTACTAATTACTTTTATTGCTTAATGTTTGCACTGGAAATACTTTTTAATTCCATTTGCATATTTAAGTTTTAGAGGTCAAATTTTCATCTTTGTAACAAGGAATGGTTAGCAAAACACATAGTGATTAATCAAACTTTTTATTTGGTGCAGTTAGGTGTTTTACAGCTATATCATGTACATACACATGTCTATCCCAGCAGCTCTCAGGGTGTGCTCTGGGGACCCTGGGTATATTTCAAGGGTCCATAAAGTGGAATAAATATTTTAAAAATTCTTACTTTTTAATTTCTAATATACTAAATATTTATAGATATAGCCCACATAAACCAACATTCTTTCCTCACTCATTTTTAAACAATGTAAAGAGGAGGTCCTGAGATTTAATGTTTGAGATCTGCTAATCTATCCCACTGTGCTGGATCAGGTGTTACACTTTGATCAGGGATTATGTTGATCTTTACACCTTTTATTTGCTTACATCTTATTTTCTTCAGTCCCACTTACGGTTTCAGTGTGGTTGGCATAAGTGAGCATTTTAAACTATCTAGATGCCTTCTGATGTTTTTCAGAGTAGTTTATAGCAATATAACCTGAAACATAATGGAGGAGACCATCTCAGTGAAACGTTGAAGTGCAGAATAAACCAGGATTTTCTTCTGGAAGGTAGAGATTCTGGAAAAAACAACAACCCAAGTCTAGCACCTGGAACTAGTGCACCATTATACTCTCAAAATGTAACTTCGGACAGGTAAAAGCAAAGGAATGGTAACTTGATGGATTCCAGAAGCATGAGGCCTGAAACAGAATGTTATTTTTTTTAAAAGCTATTTTCCTAGATAATTTACAAGCTTACAAAAACATAAGCTCTCCAGCCAACCATGAAACACAAATGCCAAAATTAATCACTTAATGCCCTTTGCTTTAGAATTCAGCACGCAGTTTAAAATATAACAGAACATTTTAAATGGCTAAAGACTGGAGGATTTAAAAAAAACAATATTTTGCATCCCAGTAATAAATGAAAAAGAGGAAGGTTAACATGTAAAGATTTGCAGGAGGGAATGAGAATAATGCTTAGAAGTTTTTAAATGTTCCTAAAATAGTTTTTGTCAAAAAACCAATTGATAAAACTAGTCAAAATGTTGGAAAAAATGGGGTTCTACAAGGAACTGAGAATAGCTAAAGTAAGTAAATATAGCACCTGTCTTTGCTGGTCTTTTTGGTACAAGCTACATAACCATGATTTCTTGAATTATGTAGATGAGCCTAAGAAACTGACATTCTCCAAATCTTTTCATATATCAAACCTGGGAATTATGTTACCTCATTTATTATGTTCATGCCACCAAGCATGATATATGGCTTTGCTATATTATTTCCAACTCAAGCACTGTCCAAGCACTAATTTTCTTACTTTCAGCAAGGTACGTGGACCTTATACTCCTCAATGTAATGTACCATTTGTTTATGGAAGCAGTTTTCCTTTGGCATGTTTCACATTTATTATTGGATGAAGGATATTTGGATAGTTTGAGGGTGTGTGAAGCTCAAGGGATGGTTAAGAACTGACATTTTAACAGGCTGTGGGCATTTGGTGATCTCGTGTGGCTTGATATTTTTTCTCTGTATTTCCCTGCTATGCAGTTATTACTGTACTTAGTTTTCTAATGTTTGTCATCCGCTATACACTGCCTTGAGACGAATTATGTTGTGGTTGGTTGTAGTCAGCCAGATGTTTAGATTGGATTTGGCATTTTTATTGAATCCTTATTACTATTATTCCAGAGATGCTTCACTAATCCCTGATGTCAGTGTGTAGAGAAACAAGCTTTTCTTGTATTTTTTAGTTTTATTTATTATTACATGGTCCGGGCTTGCTGAACATAATATAAAAAAGGGAAACTTTATTCTGTCTTTGCAGGAAATATTAATAATTATTTTTTTAAAAGATCACAAGTTAGAATAATGTCTGTAAATTGATAAATATCAATTCCTCAAAGCTGTTTGCCATCTCTAAAACGGCACTGTGCTATGTTGAAACTCAAGGCCATTACAGCAGACCTGGATAGCGACAGTCCAAAATGTCTTTCTCTAAATATGGTTTTGGATTGTACTTGCACCATAACAGTACTCAAAGTGATTGAAAATATCCAGAAGTGTTTTGCTGGCTAACAGGAAAACATCTTTTACCTCTTACTGAATTAATCGTGTATTTGTTTTCTAGTTTGTAAGCTGAATTGTTAGTTAAAAAACAATTTCTTCCAGGCTTATTCAGCAACAAGCACATATTTATTTACTAAGTTCCCTCAAAGGATCCCAAAACAGAAAATACAAGTGCAGAATTCCAGCTCAACTCTAATAATTAAAAACCAACTACAGAACTTGCAGAAACATATGCAACAGAGGCAGTATTTTTTAATTGACAGACACAAAGTTTCTTAATTCTGAATTAAGGATGAACAAGAGACATTCTGGTGAGAGAAGAGTTCCCTGATGGTCTCCAGCACAAGTCTGAAAGCTAGGAAGACTAAACCTCTGGTCTCAGTGACTGACTCAGATTGGTTCAGTGAACAAAAGAATTTGAAAAAATGCATGTATCTATTTAACTTACTTATAACTTGCATAACAAACATGTATCTGTATACTTATGACTTGCATCTGGTTAATCTATTCCTTCTTGGATGTAATAATTTCCATGAAACATAATTGCTCACCATGAACTAAGTTGCTCATGTTCTCTCCATCTTTGTATGTTTGCCACAGCTCCAGAAAATGGGATTTTTAGTTTTACACTCTGGCATATGAAATGAAAAATATTCTATTATCTAGTTAATCAAATACAGATTATTTCCTACATTTTGAAACTATTGGTATACAAAGGTCATTTGTGAAGAGGCTGCCTGCCCTTCCTACTTTTATTTTTCCTTTGACAACCCACAGCATAGGTCATTATGCCTGGTCTAGTTTTTAAGATATAATGTAATAATGTGAAAGAACATTGAAATGGAATTCACAATAATGACAATAATAGTGAACGATCTGAGTGAGGTTGAAATGCAATTCATGTAATTCAGGAATGATATTTAGAATAAGGCAATAGGAACTGGTTTAACAAAAATAATTTTTATTAAAACTTCATTACAACTGCTGACTGTAACCCATTGTGGTTTTTTTTCCAAACTGCCATATTTGAAAATCCAAAAGATTCTAATATACTTAGAATCTGACAAAAACCCTGCTGTAATTAAAAGCACAATCCCCAACTGTCTAGGTGAAATTCATTATTAAGTCATTTATTTGGGGGAATGCTAAGTGGCTTAAGGAACTTCCCACAGATCATTAATCTGATTTCTAATTCCAGTAGTTTGGCCTGAGGAGTGTAAAAACTTTGGTTCATGTACACATAGCACCATAAATTCTTCATATTTATTTCTCCAGTGGGGCATAGTTCAGGAGCTTTTCAATCAGGTCTACGTGAGCAAGCAGCATTCTGCGACAGCAGTATCTTTTCAGACCCAAAGCATCCAAGGCGTCACTAGGAACAAACAAAAGCAATAGTACTTTCAAAGAAAAGCATCATGCTTAAATCAGATCCCAATAAAATACAAACAAACTCAAGGCCCTGTCCACAAAAGAAAGAAAGATGAGAGAAAAAGAGAATCTGCAGCAAAGGATGGTGCAGAGCAGTGATGGGATTCACATTTTTTTACTACCGGTTCTGTGGGTGTGGCTTGGTGGGCATGGCAGGGGAAGGATACTGTAAAAACTCCAGTCAGAGGTGGGATTTGCCAGTTCTCTGGATTACTCAAAATTTCTGCTATTGGTTCTCCAGAACTGGTGAGAACCTGCTGAATACCATCTCTGGTGCAGAGGATGGTGTAACTAAGAACTATTCAGAGATCATTAGGGGAAAAAGTTGTGAAAGAAGTTGCCTCATAAATGCTCTGTTAATTCTACTTGGATCAATTACTAGTTTTTAGATTTTTCTACTCATAAACATGTGCCTGATTTGATTGCCTTGAGCATTCCCACTTAAAATCACATCTGGTGTCTTGATAGTCTAGTGAGAGGAACTGCTGTTTTGATCGAAGAACCAAGGCTATATATTGGGGGGAAAAGATGCTTTTGACTACTTCAAATCTTATCTTCTTAACAAGACAGATGTAGAAGATGGTCTCGGCCCTGCAGGAAAACATAAAAAGAAAATGTGGGGAACTTTTAGATCTATGATTTGCTTATTTTCTTTCCACCCCAATGCTTAGGAATTCTCCACCACAAAAGTCACACAGTGTTGGCTTCTAGAAGTTTTCAGCATCTTCCTCTTTTTCTCTTTCCCAAATGCACGAAAGACTCAGAACATCATCATCAACAACAAGCCTCTTTCAAAATAGAAGAGCAAATAATGAGAAAAAGACAGGAAACCTTTGTAATTCATAGGTTCCTCTTCCTTTTCAAGCCATGACTGTCAATTTTACCTGAAACTAATTGTGGTGATTCCTCTCCTCATGCTACCACTTGTGCATTGTTTGAGAGATACACTTGCCTATGAACACATACATATGCGTATGCCTGCAAGAATCCCCATCTTTAAAAAGGACAGGACTGAAACACAAAAATAATTTACTGAACCAAGAACTAGTCATTCAAATTAATTTCAGGGCACATGTTGCAATAATGTGTGTTACTAGTATAATGCCACTCTCAAGAAAAAGCATTTAGTC